CACACACACACACACACACACACACACTTTCCCATTGACATGTCCCCCGGGTAGGCAAAATACCACTCAAGTAATCTATAATGGTTCAGAAACGGCCAAAATGCAGTTAAAAATGAAGACGTTCTAAGAATAATGAGGTTGAAAATAAAGTAGAAAGAAAAATCTCCATGATTTAAAACATTCATTGCGCATTTTGAAAACATTTTAAAATGATTGTAAAGATAATATCTAGTAAGTGTTTTCCATTATCAGCTTCACCGATTCGACGTTTCTGAACAGTAATGGAATTATGCTGCAGCTTGAAAAAGACACATGAGATATCCCAAAAGAATAAATGTTATGGGGAATTTTTAAAAAAAGTTATCAAACACATATTGTGCATACCATCAGAGGCAACGGGTATGTGCATAACGTTAGAACAAAAAGGTCACAACGAGAGACCGATGTACAGAACAAATGATTAACTTTGAAGACTAAGATTATTCAGGAAACGGAATCTCCAGGTTCGGGATTCGAAAACAAAACAAAACAAAAAATCCAAAACAACAAAACAGCAACAAAAAACAAAACAACCAACCCAACAAAACAAAACAACAGTAAAACGAAACAAAAACAAACACAAATAAAAAACAACCCCCCCCCCCCAAACAAATCAATAACAACAAAAGCAAACAGCCACATCCCCACAAAAACACAACAACTGGTAAAAAAACCAAAAAAAAACCCAAAACCAACCCTGTCCCAAAACATCACCCACCTGCCAAAAACAAACAAAACAATTAACATTTAAAAAATGAAAAGAAGACATTCGTATGTGCAGTAGACAGAACAAGGCTCAGGCGGGAGCTACACTTAACCTCTTCTAAGCAAATAATAATAATAATAGTAATAATAATAATAACAAATAGCATTAATTTGTATATCGCATATCCCCGCTCAACAGCAGGCTCTATGCGCTTTACACTATATTTTTACCCCAGCAGACCATAGAACACTCCTAAACATTCTCAGCTTCCCGGGAAGCATACAGTGCAAGCAGCTGATTCTGATTAAGCGCTCAAACACTAACACACTGACAAGATCTTTCGCTGTCTCTAGCCGGGTACCCATTCCCACCTGGGAGAAGTGAGGAAAATTTGTGTAAAGTGCGTTTCCCAAGGACACAACATCGGGCCCCTGACGAGATTCGAATCCACGACCTTAGGGGTTGCGAGTCCGAGAGCCTATCCACTAGGCCACCGCAGGCAGGTGTCCCAATATAATGATATCGTGTACCACAATATTATGTACTCACGTAGTCACTGTAGAGCACGGCACCGATGCGGGTCTTGTTGTAGCCCACGTCCAGACCCATGGTGAAGTCACGGACAAACCGCACCTGGTACCAGAAGTCTTTGGGGCCAACGGCGTCAGAGGAGTCCAGGGCGAACACAACGTCCACAGGCTTCTGGCGGCAAACTGAGGG